AATTTTGCATAGAACATTGTCAAGTTTGAGTGATTTGGTTATTAATAAATGTATCCATCGGCTCCCCGTCTTACAGAACCCTGAGCCTTCTTACTATCAGAATACACAGTTTAATACAGTAGTTGCCAGTCCTTTCACACACGTTACTTTCAGGCGCGGATCCAGAAATTTTTTCCAGGGGGGGTCCACCCCAGTCAGAAAAAAGAATCAAATCCCACAAATTTCTTGACAAGCAAAAAAAAAAAAAAAAAAAAAATGTGTGCAAACCTAAACTCGCCCAAACGTCAAAAACCTATTTTTTTTGGGGGGGGGGGGGGGGGGGGGAGGTAGTGGTGACTTCTATTGCCTCAAATCTTTCACTATTCATACCCATTTCACACATATTCGCGTTTACCAGGGGGGTCAGCGTTTTCCAGGGGGGGGTCCATAGTAACTTTTTTCTTGTTTTAGTATATACATTTTTTAACCTGGTAAATTCCAGGGGGGGGTCCTGACCCCCGACCCCCCTCTAGATCCGCGCATGACTTTAATATGGTAGAAGTGGGTATTTTTCAAATGAGTTCAAACAAATTCATGACTGCTACGAGCTAGTTGTATCAGGGATGTATATAATTTATTTCCTGGCTTAGATTGACAGATGTACAGGTTGGTTCACATCATACATATTGGTCAAAACAAGCATCTACATTTGCGTCTTGCCGTGATTCCATTGTAAACAGGACATGTATGTGATATTGTCATAATGCATTCAGTATATCAGTAATTTGTACAGTACTGTATTATCAAAATGTGTGCAAACTCTATGTTGATAAATTTGTTTCATGTGAAAAAGAATAATATTCTAGATTTTTGGCAATTTTTATTAGACGTGTTACTCTGAATTAAAATTAAGAGTTAATTTGTCTTCCATTTTTTGTACCCAAATGAGTTCTATAATACATTAATTCGTACTTTCGTGGTAAAAAAGTTAAAAAACAATAACAATAACAAAAAAAGTTAAATATTTACATTCAAAGATGCTACACAATTTAGGAGATAGAATGTGGATAGTTGACAACAAAAGATGAAAGTTAGGTAGTAAGCTTGATGGGATTCATAACAAAAACAATTTAACATTTAAAATTCATGAAGGAAAATGTTTGTGGTTTGTCATGTGTAGTGATTAATTAGCATAAAAGGTATACACATGTATGTATGTCTGTGTATATAAGACAGTTTGAATATAAAATTTTGTGTGCATGTTTTCCTCCATGTAACGATTCTGGATTTGTTTATGCAGAGGTACCTCAGGAGTGACTGTGGGAGCAGTATTGATCTCCCATAGTACCAGTGGTTGATATGTAAATGGTAACTTCTTGGGACATGTTCAGTGTCCACATTGGATAAGTTTACATCTTGGAAGTTGGAAATAGTCTATTGTGTCATTTATTGCAGATTGTACAAAGGGAGGTTTGTCGCTATGTCATTTATTTTTGTCCATGTATTGACGTAAGTTAGAATCCTCCCACAAACTGACAAAGTCATTGGACCTGGTGCTTATGTGTACCACTGGAATACAGGGGCTACTGGAAGGGAGCATCATTCTGCATTACAATGGCACAGACTTGTTTATACATATATATACCATTTTTAGGTCCAAGTGGCTGGGGCATTTAGTGTTTGTCATGTTGGTCTTCAATATTCTCCAATCTTTCCATCCTCCTGTCTGGCCCTCCATCCCACTTTGAATCTAGTTCAGTTTTAAAGAAACTATTTAAAATATTCATATGAAATGTCATATGCTGATTATCATTCAAATGCATCAAAATATTTATACACTGGTCTTCAATCCAATGACCTTGACCATAGTATTTTATTCTGTATAAAGCACAGTTTCAGGAACTACTCTGTACTGGGGTATTCAAAACATTTTCCTGTAAACACATATACTGATACATATTGGGGAAACTAAGATATTTTCATCAAACTTCATACACAAATAAAAATGGGTGAGAGCTAATAACTGTCATAATTTTTCAACCTTAACCCTCCTTGTGACCTTGACCTTTTTATTCCTCATTTACTCTAATTTTAAATTAAGAATCAAGGTATATTTCTTTTCTTGTTGCATTAGTTATTAACCCTTGATGAGGCATTTAATTTCTAATTTGTGTATGTACCCTTTTAATAAATGGTTACAGTTGCTAAACTTTAAGTCCCTTTTATTGTAAACTTTTATGTCAGCTTAGTAAAATAAATGTAAAATTTACATGCTGCATAATTTTATGATTATTGATATATGAATGTAGATTTGTAAAAAAGGATAATTATAAAACTGTCCTTTTGTCTTTTGAATGAATAAGATAGTGATGACTGTAAATGGCTTTATTGCTGTTAGAAGATCTTAAGACAAAGACTGATTCGCCCCTTGTGAATAATTCATAAAGCAAATACAAGTATTTTAACCTTAACATGGTTGGGTTACTCTTTTACCTGCAAGTGTTACACATCTTTCTCCAGGTAAGTGTTACACATGTGAAAAATACACCAAGGTAAACACAGGTAAAGTAAGATGTGAATTGTGGGTATTACTGGACAAATTAATAGAGGGAGTGAAGGACAAACTTAAATCCCGGACTACGTAATGTTGTCTATGTAATCGACGATAGAACATAACTTTACCTATCGTTAATTATGACTTAGGTATAAAATGACTAGGGGGCGTACATATAGGGCAATTTGTCAGTTCTATAACCCAGACACCATGAAAACCAAAGACTAGAAGTGTGGACACTGATACGGGATTGACCAAGCTGTCAAATCATCATGTTTTTTATCATAACCTGTGCCATCAATATACTGACGTTTGTCTGTAGTTTGACTGTTTGGTAGTACTGGCTGCGAGACTTCTTACAGTCTGATATTTCTGTTTGAGGTTCTGTAAAACGTTTACATTTTAAAAAGAGTGTAGAGTGTGTATGTATATCTTTTACTTAGCCGGTGTTTACATTTTGTGACCTGTCATTTGATCTTATCTTCTATGGACTGTTAATTTAGCATTATAGGGGATTTTTTCGGGGAAGTATAAGATGTTCAATATAAATATATGTACATGTACTCTGTTTGTGAATATCCTCTTTCAGGAAGTTAGAATAATCCACTTTTCTGGTGTCTATAGATAAATACCTACCTTATTATATACAGGTAGTTTCTGTCATTAACAGTCAAGGAAGACTTGTGTGAATAGAGAAAAATTTACCTTAGACAAGTAAATAATTCTGGATATAAGTGACTTTAATGATTAAGTGAAGGAAGTACAATGTACTTATTATTTGTAATTGTTGATGGACTGTTATTTAACTGTACATTACAGGTGTTTGGAGCCAGGACCCACTAGTATGATTGACTGAGGATTAGTATGACTGTGTGATACCTGTGTTTCTAGGGAGGATGAATGAGGCTGCAGAGATCACAGTCATAGGTAAGTACAGGTACCGGGGACCTGACACACCTGTAATTAACTGGATTTAACATCACAAACATTGTAAGAGTCAGTGAGTCTTTATTATGCAGAATAAATTACAAATGAGACATTTATGTTAAAAATTCTGTTTATATGATGCATAATTTCTTTTTCACTATTCTAAATTTACATATTCCCTCAATAGAGGCATAATTGCAACACATGCATTGTTTCAAAAAAAAAAACTTGCCAAAATAAATGGTATTTCTTTTTTAGTTCTTAGTCGTTTTAAAATTTTCAATAATTACATTGTATTCTTAAAACACATTGAATTTTTGAATAATTTTCACTTGATTTAAAGAAAATATTTAAAACACATTGAATTTTTGAATAATTTTCACTTGATTTAAAGAATATATTTATGATTATACTGTATTTCCCGGTTCCATTTGAAGGCCGTTGGTTTATCATGTTGCATATTCTATTAAGGAATCTGTAAACATGGACAGACATTATTTTATGATGACATGAAATACAGTGTATCAACTATCATATACACTTACTAACAACTTGTTACGTGTCAAACCTCAGTTTTATTTACCATACAGAGCCTGGGGATATATACAGATGTATGTGCTCCACAGTGATAAATTTTTATCTGTAGAAAATTTTAAAACTAGTTTTATCACATTGAAACACAATTTGCCTAAAGAGAGCAAGATTAGCAACTGACAAGAAAACTGAAAATGATAAATGGACACATGTCTTTGACCTCACCTGAGTTTTGTTTTCCTACTGTTAACTTTTCACATTTCAAGTACTTACTCACTGAATTATTGGAAAAACTGCAATGGAATTTCAGTACCAGGCAATGTTAATTATTTGTTAATCTTACAATTAGAAGACATAATGTCCTTACCAAGAGGAGATAATGAAGAGTTCTATGCCCTTTGAATTTTTCTTTATCCATTTTGAAAATTTAATTATTTAAATTATCCTCTATGTTCATAACACTCTGGGTGCAAAACAAAGATGTACGTTAGATATATAATGTATGCAATAAAATACAAATGTATTGCAAGTTCCTTGAATTCATATCACAAAAAGCTTTTTATGATTTACAATACAGGTTAAATCACTAATTTTCATGGCCGGGGGTTTAATTTTTCATGGTTTTCAAGGTATGAACAGAGTCAATAGACCCATGAATTTATATCCACCACAAAATGCAATTTTTCACTTATATTATTATTGAACAATTCTTCAACCACAAAATCAAATCCACATGAACCAATACATTGTCTTCAAATCAAGAAAATTCGACCCCTCAAAAATATGTGATTTTACAGTATATAATCATGATAAATATTAAATCAAAGAATTCTTGAGAAATACTTATGTAGAAAAGGAAATGTTGTTTATTAAAATATTTTGATCAATGATCTCATCAGTAAGCTAGCTTAAAATAGGAAGAAAACAAAAACATTGACAGCAAATACCAAATAAATCTAAATTTTTTTAGGACGTCAACAGATTTTATTAGTATTGCTAAGCTTTAACACTGGTGGTCACTTTGAAAACAACAGTGGAATTTCAGTTAATACCACTGACAGAGTTATAATTATTAATGACATTTATGAGTTAATTAATCGTAAATGTCTTTAGTACAACGGAATGTGAATAATTGATTGACCACTCCCTTCTTATAGTTTACGATTTCTTCAGGATGTTAAACCTACAAATAGTGTAACAGAAAAACAGGAAATTAATCAGACAATTATAATGAGCCTGTTCAGCAGGTTTTTTGTAAGGAGGCTAATTTTTGTAACCTTTCCAAACCTGACCAGAATGTCCTCTAGACCTCCCACATCAGTCTTATAAAGGCCATGCTTTATGCCAGGTCCTGTTTTTTTTTGTGAACACTAGCTGATGGTTTGTTCAGTGAAATGAGGACTAGACCTGTACACAGTTGTTCTGTTTTTATTACAGTTCTTAATGCCAAAGGTTTGCAGAGCAAGAGACCAGGTAAGCATTGAGACATTTATATGCTAACATCCACAGATTCTTTTTTTTTCCTCTGCAAGAATTGATTGGTGTACCTTATACTATATGAGTGAAATTTACTTGAAATCTGTTCATATATTTTTAATTAAGGAAGAAAATAGAAATAGATGATAAATTTTTTGGAATTTAAAGCACACTTTGGTAATTTTGCCATTATTTAGAAAAATGTTTCAGCAATTATTGAACTTTTCAGGAAAATGTAAATTCTCAGTAATATTTGGAGTGGGTTCAAAAAAGTATAGAACAGCTGTAGTCAAAGACCCAGAGGGAAACCCGGAGTGGAGTGAGGAGTCTACAATGTATGTAACGCAAGTCCCATTTATGTAAAAATGAAAAAAAAGAACAGAATTTAATATAAATAACATGAAAAAAGAACCATTTCAAATTCTTATTATTATTCTACATTTTTTGAAAAATCATTGCTTTCAGTAATTCAAAAGTGATTTGAAATGCATTTTCTAGTATTTTGAAACTCCTGTCTCCTGTTAAAAAAAAAATCATTTCATCGAAACTTTGCTATAAACAAATGATTTTCTGTTTTAGTCAAGTGTCAAATCCCTTGGACCAGGTTTTCTTCATTGTGACAGAGAAGGACGATGTTCTGGGTCAGGTTCATGTTCCAATCACCAGTCTCCCGGGACCCCCAGGACACACCACCCTAGTGTCCCTTCAACCCCACAAAAAGTGCCCCAACCCCAAGGGCGAGCTGACATATCGGTGCTACGTTTCCCAGTACAGACAGGCCCATGCTCCTGTCATTAAAACAGGAAGTCCTAACAGGTTCCAGTCGAATTCAGCAACTCTCAACTTCAAAAAAAGATTCAGCCTTGCCAATTCACCTGTCATTAACCTGAAGAACAAAAAAGACAGCAAGCAAAGTGGTGGATCCAAGTTATCTACACTTAACAAAAAATTCTCACGATCAATACAGGATATTTTTAGTTTTGGAAAGGCTCATAGTGATGAAGAAAACGAGAAACCCTTTAAACCAAGAGCACTTACTCACATGAGTATAGGGACAGGGATGGAGTCTGCTGGCAGGTGCCCTGTAATCACCTCAGTAACTCCATCATGTGGGTTGATTGAGGGAGGCACCAAAGTGACAATAGAGGGGAAATACTTGGGACTTAGCAAAGCTGACATATTAGATCTGAACATATGTGAGTGTGAGTGTGTAGATTCTGTGATATGGGAATCATCCAATAGGATTTATTGTACCACCAAGCCTTCTCTGGCGGGACTGGGAGATGTTGAGATTGAGACAGAGTCTGGAGGTATTGGGTGCCTCAGACAGGCCTATGAGTATGTGGAGGAGCTGCCCTCGGGAGAGGAGCCAGTATTTGAGGAGGAGGAGGAAGTGGACGGCAGGAGGTCGGCCAGTTTCACGATCGGGACCTTTAGTGCCTCCTCATCTCCACAGACGCCCAAAAAAACTGTACAGGTGAGATATCAGTGAATGTAGATATCCCCCCAAAATATCTGTACAGGTGAGACCTCAGTGAATTTAGATATCCCCCAAAATATCTGTACTAGTGAGATCTCGGTGAATATAGATATCCCCCCAAAAATCTGTACAGGTGAGATATTAGTGAATAGAACCCCTAAAAAAATCAGGTTTTAATTAGTTAAGATTTAACATTTACCTGTATATCCTATTATAACTATTAAGTTATTATAATAATTGTACATTTAATATTATTTAAAAGGTTTTTCTTCCATCCACTCTCTTGAAATTATATGTGAAAGTTTTAATACACTATAAATTCAGAGAGCTATCCAAACAGGTTATATTGAATATAAGTAGGGATGTCAAAATATTAATTTTCCTTAGTCGAACATTCGATTGCATTATTCGAACGATAGTCGACTATTCGGAGCATTTATTATTTTTTTTCTTATAGCACAGTGTTTTTGAAAGCTTATTAATTAATTAAAATAAATTGGAAAATTGAATTAAATTGGAAATAGGGAAATGTAAAACACACTAATCCACACCTCCGATCGATGAAAATGTTAAATAAAATGTTTGTTCAATTAATAATTGCCCAAGCTATACATCAAAATGTCTTTTATGTAAGATTATTGTTTTAATAATTATCGAACTTTAAAACTTCATGGCTATGCAAATATTGTGTGTTTCTAAGCATTTATTTAAAATTCCTAGAGTTTATAAATATAATTGGTACAAGTCAATTAAATAATTTTCATAGTCCAGTATAGCGTTGCATAATTTACCACGTACAATAACAAAAAAGTCAGTGATTGAGAAATAATTATCGCGGTATGTATAAATTGTATTTTCCGTATATACAATGTGGACAATTATTTATGTACTGTAACTGTGTTTGGGCTCTTATTCGTCTGAGGACGTAAACTATAGAGCTGTATAGTTTAAGGATGGACTTTTTTCAATTTGAGATGACAATTTCATTATCATCCCCTTTTCTTGCATTTATTTAATATTTGAATGTTGTTTCATTATTCGATCGTCCGTCCATTCGACTGACAGTCGAATAGTCGACTATTCGTTGACATCCCTAAATATAAGACATGATTTTGTCCATACAGGCTATATTGAATATCAGACACAATTATATTGAATATCAGACAATATTTTATCAATACAGGTTATATTGAATATCAGACACGATTCTATTCACACGGGTTATAGATCTATTCAGTGAATATCAGGCACAATTATATGGAATATTAGACTCTATTCTATCCACATATGTTTAATATATAGAGTATCAGACATTATTTTATCCATACAGGCTATATTCAGTATATTGAATATATGACATTCTTTTATCCATACAGGTTATATTGAATATAGGACATTGTTTTATCCTAGGGATGTCAACGAGTACCCGGTTAACTGGGTACTCGATCGAACGTCCGAGTATCGAATACTAAAATCGGTACTAGGTTACTCGGATGTATATTTTTGAATATTTCTAATCTTATTTATTAATGCATTAAACAATCTGTTTTAAAACGTAAAATGCTCATTGCACTTGTACATACAGTAATTAGGGTTTACTACGACTCTAAATGACCGTTATCACATGTGGCAGTGTTTATACAGTAATTATCGTGACCAAGTACCTGGGGTACGTGGCTTTTCCTACCTTCGGCTGCCTTCTTCCCTTATTTTTTGTTTGGCTTTAATTATTTATTTTCACTGAACATCGTTTAAGATC